GAAGGCCATTCTCTTTACCAGAACTGCTAGAAATAAGTGGTGGGAAACATTATTTGATAAGCTACCTAAGATGAGATGAGAACACTGAGGACTGTGCTTGAGAAAATACGGAGGATCTAAATGGCTCACCAAGGCTCTCCAGCACCAAGAGGTAAACGCAGGACTTCTGTTTGACTGAGTTGAGTATGCATTTCTTGAATCAGAGAGAAAAGATGAGGCTGACCTCTACTAACAGTAGTCTCCCTGGGTTTTTCTGCTTTCTTTCTTCTGATTAAATATTAGATAAATATGCCAATGTATCAGTTTGAAGAGACACCAGCATATTAGCTTGCTAGGGAGCACCTGTATCTCTTTCTCCACATGTACCCAGTCTAATGTGTTTGGTTTTAGATTAGTACATATGTTTGGCAAATATATAATATTTTATGTGTATGTTTACAAAAATAATACTGTGCTATAGATCAAAAAATTTTGACCAGTTTATACATCTATTAACAGCGTAGCCGGGCGCGGTGGCTCAAGCCTGTAATCCCAGCACTTTGGGAGGCCGAGACGGGCGGATCACGAGGTCACGAGATCAAGACCATCCTGGCTAACACGGTGAAACCCCGTCTCTACTAAAAAATACAAAAAAAAAAACTAGCCGGGCGAGGTGGCGGGCGCCTGTAGTCCCGGCTACTCGGGAGGCTGAGGCAGGAGAATGGCGGGAACCCGGGAGGCGGAGCTTGCCGTGAGCTGAGATCCGGCCACAGCACTCCGGCCTGGGTGACAGAGCGAGACTCCGTCTCAAAATAAATAAATAAATAAATAAAAATAAAAAATAAAATAAAAAAAAACAGCGTATGGGTGAACCTGTAACCCTACACGTTGATGACCACTAACATTTTAATATTTTAGCATTTGCTAATCTGGTAGATAGATAAAAGTATGATTCTTTTATTATGGATTTATTAAGAGTGTCTTAGAACATCTTTTCATTATTTATCAATCATTTTCATTCTTTTCTGTGAACTTCTATTCATGTCTTTTGGCCATTTTTCCATTGAGTTGTTGACTCATTGATTTGTAAGACTTTCTTTTCAATGAAAGGAATTCCTTACGTAGCTATAATGTTAGCTGTATGTATTACACATTAATTTCTAAGTTACTCATCTGTTTTGAGTACAAGATACAGTTGATTCTTCCTATCTGTGGGTTCTACATCTGCGGATCAAAACTATTTGGGGAAAAAACAATAAAATAACGATACAACGATACAAAAATAATGCAAATAAAAAACCAATATACTATAACACTGTTTACACAGCATTTACACTGTATTAGGTATTATAAGTAACGCAGAGATGATTTAGAGTATACAGGAGAATGGGATAGGTTGTATGCAAATACTATGCCATTTTATCTAAGGGACTTGAGCATTCAAGGATGTTGGTATCCACAGGGGTCCTCGAGCCAATATCCTGTGGATACTGAAGAACAACTGTGTATCATATTTCCATGTAGTGAATGTATCATATTTTTAATTTTATGCTTTATGAGTACATGCATCTCTGCTGTGATGCATTCAGAAATTATGCTTATGTTCTTCTCTTTCCATCTTTTGGGCAGGTTAAAACTCTGCAACAGAACTGAATAATCATTTTAGGCTCTTGGCAACTTTTATTCTGCCTTATCATCTTGCTGCTGATCTCATTTTTGATATTGCAATTCAATAAATATTAACTGAGACCCTACTATATGCCTAGGCCTGTGCTATAAATTGGAGATGAGAAAAACCACTGGCTAAACTAGAGAAACATCGTCAAATACAATGTACCCTGAGCCACTCACCTTGCCCTTTACTAATTTTGTGAAAAAGTACTACTTATTACATCATTTTATTCTCATTATCTTTCAAAAAATATTGACTCAGAGGATATTTATAAATATTTTTAAAAGTTATTTTTTACTCAGTTACATTCCTAGAAATGTTAAATGTCTACTTCTGTCATTTTTGTTGCATGCAGGACTAGTGCTATATTTATTAGTACAGGTTACACTGCCATAGCAAGAAAATGCCTTTTTAGGTAAATGTTCCTTTAGGCAAATGTCAGAATTGGGTCACATGGTCATAATCAAGTTGAAGTAAGGCTGAGAAATATCAAGTCTGCTTGGACAGCCACATTATCTGCTAGAAAACAGTGAATTCTATGATTAAAAGAAAATGGAGATATTCAATACTAAGGGACAGCAGTTTCTACCATAGTCCATTTATGTGGTATGTCAGTTGTCTCTTTAGTTTTTTCATCCCACATGAAGGATGAAAAAAATTCATGTGGGATGAACTGTTGGACTCTACATTGTTCATCCTTTAGGACCCAACAATTCTGAGCTTTTGGCTAAGAATCTAGAATCTCTACATGAGGCAAAGTTCTTTCCATGAGTCCTAATGTAGCTTCTTCTTTTTCAATGACCTATATAGACTAGTAGATAATGTAACTGCCACTCAGTGTATTAGTATATACTGATATACAATGGTATATTGGAAATAAAATAGAATGAAAGAATATAATAGAATGGAATGGAATAGAATCAGGGTAACTGCGATAAAAACTATTACTTGGAAAAGGGAAGAATGGGAAACATAAAAACCCACTTGTCTGTAGCTTTACTGAAATCTTGCAGTACAAAAATTGCTAGGATTCTCTAGTGGCTACTTGCCAGTATGTAGCTTGAAGTCATTAACTTACTTGAACTTGGCTCTGCTCCGTGGGATACTCCCCTGTCCATTGTCTTTTTGATCTCCTGGCTTTGCCCTTAGGGAAATTGCTCCCTGTCCACAATCCTTTGGGGCACATCTACAGTGAATGCTAAGGCATAGCTTCTTTTCCACTTTAGATGTGATAATGGCCAAGCAATTCTAGGTTTTGAGCTGAAGACAGCATAAGTTTCTTAACTCTCTGCTGATTCAGGTTAAAGTCTTAGGCGATGCTATATGATTACACATTCACATGTCATTGTAAACTAGGTTTGCAAGTTTTTTGGAATACGGTATGCTCAAAACCACAGTTGACTCCTGATCTATTTGGTTCCAGGCAGTTGTATATGAAAGAAACCACAAAGGCTTTATCTGAATATAACAATGCTATTGTCACTCTCTCCCTCAGATTAATAGCAGCTACATTGGTGGGGAAACAACATCCTTAATCTGATTTTGTGTCTGCATTGGTCTCTATTTTTGGTTGCAAACACTTAAGGGAAGGCTCTTGAGCAAGGTCCTGAGTAAAAACATAACTACTGTTATTTTCTTCATAGAAACAGTTGAGTTCTCCCAGTTACTAATCCTTCAGTCAATTTAGATTGCTTGCCATCTGCTGATAATGGAGTAGGATTATATTCCCTTTCATCTCTGCATTAAATTGATTAATTTTTGCCTGCCTTACTCTCTGTCTTATAGCACATTGCTAAAAGCAGCAAGGAACAACCAATATACATTAATATCCTGAATTTTCCAAACCTGTCTTCCAGGAAATAGAGGCTTTATAACTACTGTTAAAATTTTTACTTAATGTTTTATCATAGAAGGGATGACTGGCCTCCCAGCTCACAAAATTTACTTATTCACTCTCAGCAAGTCTACAAGTAAGGCAGAACTAGGACATTTTTAAAGAACATCCCACTTCTGATACTAGTTTTTATATTAATTAGGGTACAGACTAAACTGCTTAACAATGAGATTCTGAAATGCACTGGCTGAAACAAGGTAGAATATTTTTTTTATCAGTCTTTACAAATTTATTTTTCTTTGCCATGCAACACTTTATTCAATAAAATGGAATAAGTGTGCCCTTGCCTCTCAGTCGTAAAATGAGCACATCGAGTTATAACAGGGAAGCTCTGCCATCTGCTATGTGTGGTTTCCATTGCTGGCCTCAAAGTGGCTATTCCAGCTCTCATCATTTCTCAGCCAGTGGGAAAGGAATAGAGAAGTGGAGGACAAAGAGCTTCCTTTTTAAGAAGGTGACAAGAAATCTGCCCTCATAACTCATAGAACTTCTGCTTGTGTGTCATTGGCCTGAATTTAGTCAGATGACCACATTTTAACTGCCAGGGAATGTGACCTATTAGGATATGCAGGCAGGGTTTCTGTTACTAAAAGAGAAAAGAGAAGAATGGATAATGGAGATCATTTAGCAGATTTTTCACATCTGTTGGGAAGAATGGCATGCATATTTAGAAACAATAGTTTTAGCTCCTAGGTTACATAAAAATTATGCATTTTTAATCTACATTTCATACTTTTAAATATTCAGACTGTCAGCACCAATTCACCAATCAATTAAAATAATTTTTATTTGCAATACATTCAGCTTTTTAATTTTTTTGTCATTCAAGACACACTTTTTTTTTTTAAGAGAAAGTATCTCTGTAAACTTTTACCTTTTACTTACTGGAATGTTCGATAAAATCTACATTTCTTATTGATGTGTTTGATGGCAGAAGTCTTCTTTACTATAAATAGTCTATTTATAGTAAATGCAAAAGGTGGGAATAGTAAATATGTAAAACAGCTTATAATATTATTATAAGAGATAAATTTGTCTTTATGTTTTGAAGGAGTTTCCCCTAACTTCTACACAGGTGTTTTTCATCCTATTTTTCACTTCTCACCTCTGCATATATAATAAACCTCATCAAGCACAAAGTACTACAAACTAGCAATAGTTTCTGGCATTCAATTTTTTCCATCATCACCCTACCCTCATCAGCATTCTTGTTTTATTTATTATTTATTTTGGGCAATCGTTGAGTTTTTTCCCACTACCTACTCACCCCCTTTTGTTTTCCAGAACGTTTCCATGAGTAATTGAACATTTATGCTTATAACTCCTTTCCTCATCATATCCACTTTTTGACATGTTGGTTTAATTTGGCTTTGTTCAGAAAGTTTCTCTGTCTTCATATTATGTATATTCTGACACTGTGCCATGCTCTTGTTCATGTCTTCCTTCTCTTTTCAGCTGGCTTAGCTGGGAGTAGCAGCTCAACTACTTCCTCCTGACTTCCAGCAGCTGTTCTGGTTTCTTTCCCAGCATTCATACTCCTCCGTGAAAGACTGAGGTGAGTAGTCAGGAAAATACATGCTTAACCATTACAGAAACTAAGATCAAAAAGCAATGAAGTGGTTCACCTAGTATATCTGGCCCTGTATCTGGTCTTTTAATTAAAGGACCTATCAAGACACCATGCAGTGTTCTATAGTATTGCATCGCTATTGGAATCAACCACACTGCTTTCAGACAAAGCAATGGAACTCCAACAGTATCAGTTATCTGTCAGTTATATTTGGCTATTAGGTGTCATCTTGGGAATACCCAGGAAAGAATCTGGTTCCACCAAGATTTACTTGAAAGTTTACTTTCCTGCGGGCAGAAAAGCCATGCCTGGATAATTGAATGAAATTATGCCCTTTATTTTTGGTCTCACTTGTTACCTTAAAATCCAATGAGTATAAAACAGATTTTTTAAAAACACATAAAGCTCAAAATTTTAGGAGCGTAACATATTTTTGCAAGCTATAGAATACCTGCAATCCTTATTAGGAAATAGGACATAATTTTCAGGTTTTTTTCTTATTAACTTTTTTTCATTAAAATTTGGGGAATCACTATTCGGTGACCATTTCTGCCTACACATTCTTCTGGGCTTGTGGCAGTTTTGGTGTTGAAGTATGAGGTGATTTACTCTCATATAATTTATGAAATTTCTTGATAAATATTTATAGCTATGTTTGATGGTGACCTATTCTCTTTAGCAGTGTCATCATAGAAATCATCGATGTATGGATTTTAGAGAGGCCAGTTAGGCATTATATAAGCTTTTTGTTCTGAGTTACCGATGACTTCATGGGGCCTGAGATATTACAAAGGAAAGAATAGAATGCAGACAGAAATAAGCAGCTGATTCAAGGACTGTAAAATAAATGTTCGCTCTGGTGCCCTCCATAAAAGTTCACGTAAAATAATACTTGACCTTATAAAACATGACCTTTTTTGAAGCACATTTGTATTCAGAAGTAGAAATCTCAAAATAATGATTTCTCTTTATCAAACCTGAGTGAAATAGTATGTACCATTAGAAGCCTGTTGGCTAACCCTGACTGATGACCTGCTGAGAATGTTATCTTTCCAGCGATGTCCTTCCTGGATTGTAAAATACATAACATCTACAGATATCCTGTAACTGAGAATAGAAAAATATCACTCTCAAAATCCAAAGCTCAAAGTAATCTTATGAAATTAGATCCTTAGTTTAAAATATTTCGTTTTTGGTTTGACTCAACTGAAATATCCTATGTACTCTCTTGTTTCCATAATTGTCCCACATATACTTTTGTATTTCAGGTAGTGTTACTGTAATTGTGTAGATAGCAATAGCCTTATGTGAACCCAGTATATGAGGTTTTTATTTCTGCCCAAGTATGAAAGATTGTCAGATTGAAACAAGAACAGAAATTTTTCAAGGATTATGAAAGAGATGAAATATTGACTATATTTTTCCCAAAGTTGCTATTTTTTATTTTATTTATTTATTTGTTTTTTTGAGACAGGCTCTGACTATTGCCCAGGCTGGAGTACAGCAGCATGATCATGGCTCACTTCAACTTTCACCTCCAGACTGAAGGGATCCTCTCCCCTCAGCCTCCCAAGTAGCTGGGACCACAGGTATGCACCACCATACCTGGCTAAATTTTGTATTTTTTGTAGAGTTGGGGCTTCACCATGTTGCCCAGGCTAGTCTCAAACTCCTGAGCTCAAGTGATCCTCCTGCCTCAGCCTCCCAAAATGCTAGGACTATAGGCATGAGCCACTATACCTGGCCCAATTGTTTTCTATTTTAGAAATGAGGAGGCCAGCGCAATGGTTCATGCCTGTAATCTCAGCACTTTGGGAAGCCAAGGCAGGAGGATCACTTGAGGCCAGTAGTTTAAGACCAGCCTGGGCAACATGATGAAACCCTGTCTCTACAAAAAAAAAAAAAAAAAATTAACCAGTAGTGGTTGTGCACACCTGTGGTCCCAGCTACTTAGGAGCCTGAGGTGGGAGAATCACCTGAGCCTGGGGAGGTCGAGGCTGCAGTGAGCCATGAGCACACCATTGTACTTTGGCCTGGGCAACCGAGTGAGATCCTGTCTCAATAAATAGATAGATAGATAGATAGAGGTCTAGCCTGATGGTAGAGTTAATGGAAGAGAGTGGGAATATTGACCAGCTTTTCAGGATATCGGCTTTTACCCAATATACCAACTGACTAGAATGCTAGCTTCACTGTACACCTTTTTACCCAGGCAGAATAGCATCCCACCAAATATGTCTACATACTGTGACAAAGATGTCTAGGACCTGTGAATGTTAGTTTACATGCCAAAAAAGGACTTTGCAGATGTGATTAAATTAAGGATCTTGAGATGGAGGAGATTATCCTGCATTATCTGATGGCTCAATAATACACTGGACCATTGGACAACGTAAGCAAAAGGTTCTTATAAGTGAAGGAGGGAGGCAGGAGAATCAGAGACAGAGAAGGGGATGTAACCAACAGAAACAGAGGCCAGACAGGAAGACACAGATTTTGAAGATGCTATTTTGCTGGCTTTGAAGATGTAGAAAGTGGACACAAACTAAGAGGGAAGGTCTTGGGAGAGGAGGATGCCACTGGTATCTGGCAAGCAGAGGCCAGCAATGTTACTAAATATTCTATAATAAACAGGCAGCCCCCCCAAAATAAAGAATTATTTATGTGTCTATAGTGCCAAGGTTGAGAAACTGCCTTGTTAGATATGTTAGGACCTCCTGCAAAGTACAGAATAGGTGAGAACAAACATCCATCTCTTGTTCCAGATCTTAGTGCAAAATATTTAATTTTCCATTCTGAAGTATGCTGTCAGCTGTACATTTTTTGTGGATACTCTTTTTAAGATGGAAGACCTTCCATTCTATTCCTACTTTGCTGAGAATTTTTACTATGAATGGTTGCAGAATTTTATCAACTGCTTTTCTGTATCTATTCAGGTGTTCAAATGGTTTTTAGTCTGTTAATATGGAAAGTTATTGATTAATTTTTAAATGTTAAAATGAATTCCTGGGATAAAACCAAGTTATATATTGCTGGATTCAATTTGATAAACTTTTAATATTTTTACATCCATGTTATGAGGAATACTGGTTTTATTACTTTCTTATTACTTTCCTCCCAATCTGTGGTAAACTTTCTTAAAAGTTTAACAGAAATCACTAGTGAAGCGCAAACAGGCCTGGCTTTTTCTCTGTGAGATGTTTAGACTGGGCACTGTGGTTCACACTTTTAATCTCAGCACTTGGGGAGGCTGAAGAGGGAGGATCACTTGAGCCCAGGAGTTCCAGAACAGGATGGGCAACATAGCAAGGCCCCATCTCTGCAAAACCTAAAAACAAGTTAGCCAGGTGTGGTGGCATGTCCCTGTGAGTCCCAGCTACTTGGGAAGCTGAGGTGGGAGGATTACTTGAGTCCATGGGGTCCAGGCTGCAGTGCATGTGATTGCGACACTGTACTCCAGTCTGGGCAACAGAGGAAAATCCTGGAGTCTCAAAAAAAAAAAAAAGTTTGACTATAATTTCTTTTTTATTTCCTTTCTTTCTTTTGCCCAGGCTGGAGTGCAGTGGTGCAATCTTGGCTCACTACAACCTCCACCTCCTGGGCTCAAGTGATCCTCCCACCTCAGCCTCCCATGTAGCTGGAACCACAGGCACTCACCACCATGCCCAGCTAATTTTTGTATTTTTTGTTGAGATGAGGTTTTGCATGTTGCTAGGCTGATTTCAAATTCCTGGGCTCAAGTGATCCACCTGGCTTGCCCTCACAAACTGCTAGGATTAATTTAATTTCTTTAATGTGTGTGTGTGTATGTGTGTGCGCATGCACATGCACATGCATATTCCTACTTAGATTATCTGTCCATGTCTTCTTGAGTTAGCTTTAGTAGTTTCTGCCTCCCAATGAATCCATTTTATCCATGTCAAGTTTATTGGCATAAATTATTTCTCTTACATATTTTAACGTCCATAGGATCAGTGGTGGTATCCTTCTTAATCTTTATATTAGTAATTTATGTTTCCCCCCTTTTATCTTATTAGTCTGGCTAGAATTTTATCATTTTATGATTCAGAAGAAAGAAATTTTGACTTTATTTTTTCTAGTTTTTAAAAAATCTATTCTTTATTATTCTCTTTTCTCTGCTTATTTTGGGTATAATTTGTCATCTTTCAATTTCATAAGACAAGAACTTAGATTATTGATTTGAGGGCTTTTTATTTATTTAATGTAAGCATTTAATGCTATAAATTTCCTTTTAAAAATTTTCTAATTTCTCTTGTGATTTCTTCTTTTACCCAAATTTGGGGACTTGCCAGATATCTGTTTTTGATTTCTCAATTAGTTCCATTGTAATTAGAGGCACAGTTTGTATGATTTCATCTTTTTAATTTGTTGGCATTTGTCTTATGGCCTAGAATATTTTCTATCTTGGTAAATATTTCAAGTTCCCTTAAAAAACAAATATACATGCTGGTATTATTGGTGGTGTTCAGTAATATCAAATCAGTTAAGTTGGTTGAAAGTATTGTTCAAGTCTTTTCGATTCTTGCTGATTTTCTTCTTATTCTGTAAGCTACTATGAGATGATTTCCCTCTTCCAATGTAATTCCGTGTATTCTTCCATTATTTTCCTGTTTCATTTTCACATTAAAATTTGTGAACTACATGGAATTTATCCAGGCACATATAGTAAGATGTGGATCCAACTTTTGTTTTTCCTTTAAGACCAAAGCATTGCATCATGAATATTTTAGGTAGCACAATAAGCTCAGTTGGTATTTATTCATTTATTTATTTATTTATTTATTTATTTTTTCAGTTGGTATTTAATAAAAAAAAAATTTTTTAGAGAATATGCATAATACATATCATACTTTAAAAAATCTAACATAAGTCTTTAAAATTAAAAGGGGAGTCAACATAGTGAAGAGAAAATAAGATGACAGAGCAAGGCAAACAATTTTTGAAAATACATTTAAAAATTACAACACACCCATCCTGTATATATAGTGAATATTATTATTCTTTTCTTCATTTTGATTAGAATTATAGCCCTCTGAATAACCTATACAATCCAGAAATTGTTTTGAAGTCAGTTTACTGATTGTCTTGCAAAACAAAGCAAACAAATGATAGCTAAGGCCATAAAACAATTGTTGATTTTACCTGGGAACTATGTTTCCTGGTTTTTTTGCTCAAAGTAATGCCATAATTTGATTCTTTAATTCTTGAGATGTGCTACTCTTTTAAAAATTATTTTTATTTTTGTTTTTGTAGAGATGGAATCTCACTGTGTTGCCCAGGCTGCAGTACTGTGGCTATTCACAGTTGCTCTCATAGCTCACTACAGCCTTAAACTTCCTCTCGCCTCAGTCTCCCAAGTAACTGGGACTACAGGCACACACCACTGTGCCCAGTTTATTATTTCTTACCAGATTAATTATTTCTGATTAGTACTTGATTTTTCTGAATTCATTTATATATATATATATATATCCATATATATATAGTGTTTATTAGTCACAAATTTCACACAACTAGGAGTGTGCTATATTGTTTGGGGCAAGAAAGGGTCTGTAAAGCACTGGTAGCTGAGGATAAATACATTTGTTTTGGTTTCTGATCCCCAAAATCCACGAGTAAAAGCAGAGAAAAAAGAAATCTGATATTTCATATTAAAAATTAATATTAGCTTCACCAAAGAAAAATAAGAAAGTAATTATAAAACTTTTCCATTTATTAATTAGACTATATGAAACTGCATTTCAATTCCAAAGGACTAATTTCTATAAGGAATTACATGTAATTTGAGTTTTAAGACTACACAGTATCATTGAACAATGGAACACTCTCTAGAATAATTTTCTTTAATCCCGCAAATGTTCACCTTTTTAGAAGTAGGTTTTGTTTTTGTTTTATCTGGATTTTACTTGTGTTGCAGATGTTTCTTCAAGCCACATCAGCTTTAGTTGTGAAATTAAAATGCCAACTCCATAGGGCTCATAAGTATTCTTGCAATAGCAGCTATAGTTGCTGACAATTTGTGTTCACCTCTACTGGTCAGGCTGGGCAATGGGCATAAGTACTTCCTTCCCACAGTGCTTGTGCTATTGATGCTGCTGTCTTTTTATTTTTTATTTTTTTGAGACAGAGTTTTGCTCTGTTGCCCAGGCTGGAGTGCAGTGGCGTGATCTCAGCTCACTGCAAGCTCTGCCTCTTGGGTTCATGCCATTCTCTTGCCTCAGCCTCCTGAGTAGCTGGGACTACAGGCACCCGCCACCTCGCCCGGCTAATTTTTTGTATTTTTAGTAGAGACAGGGTTTCACCGTGTTAGCCAGGGTGGTCTCAATCTCCTGACCTCGTGATCCACCCACCTCGGCCTCCCAAACTGCTGGGATTACAGGCGTGAGCCACCGCCCAGCCTGATGCTGCTATCTTGTTACCATCACTGTCTCTGATTCCCTGGGTTTGAGATTTGGAAAGGCAGTATTCTCGCAGCTCAGGCTGCAATGATTTTTTTTCTGGTCCAGTGGTGACAGTAGAAGAGAACCCTGTGGAATCTCCCTGTTTCTTTAGACTTCAGCCCATTCTACTAGGCATGCTTTCCTTTTAAGGCCTTTGCTGTTGGTACTCCTTCGGCCTGGTTGTAACCCTGAGGTTCACTCCCCACTCGCTATCGATTATTTATTTATTTATTTTTTTAAATTTATTTTCACACAGTTTCACTCTTATTGCCCAAGCTAGAGTACAATGGCGTGATCTCAGCTCACTGCAACCTCTGCCTCCCAGGTTCAAGCGATTCTCCTGCTTCAGGTTCCTGAGTAGCTGGGATTACAGGAGCATGCCATCACACCTGGCTAATTTTTATATTTTTAGTAGAGACGGGGTTCACCATGTTGTCCATGTCTGGTCTCGAACTCCTGACCTCAAGTGATCCACCTGCCTCAGGCTCCCAAAGTGCTGGGATTAGAGGCATGAGCCACCGTGCCTGGCCTCGATTTTCTGTTTAGATATCGCCTACTTAACCATGCTTCCCTTGACCATACTATTAGTATTGCCTAGCTCCTTTCCTAAATTTTCTTCTCCACAGGGCATATCTTCTAATGTATTTTATAATATCTCTATGTGTTGATTTGTTTTTGCTTTTTGTTTTTTTTCTCTTCCCTAGAATATAAACTCCATAAAAGTTTAGATTTTGTCTGTTTCATTCATGTTGAGTCCAAAGTGCCTGAAATAGTGCCTGATACTGAATAGACATTTTGAATGAATAGTGCCTTGAAGTACAGCTTCTCTCTGCTTCCTTACCTCCTATGCAAGCTCCAGGATTTCACGGGAGCATTCACCATTAGGCCATAATAAAACTGGGCCCACTTCTCCATACCAGGACTCAATTTGAAACACATATGCCCTTCATTTCCCCAGAGAAAAGGTAAAAACTCCTCAGATCACTTCCCTGCTTCGTTTCTTCCTCCCATGGAAATGCAGCTTCCCCTCCTCAACTACCCAGTCCTCTATCCAATGACCAAATTCAGTTCCTACTTTACTGGGGCTCCAGATTCTGTCCCAACTCCTGTTTTCTGGGGACCTGTGTTTCACATGCAATCTCATATTTCAAAATTTTCATAATGATCTGACCATGAACAGCTGTTTAATTTTGACCACTTAATGAGGATGAATTAAGAAATATTAAACTCAAATCTACTTATGCATAGATGTATTTGACCTTAAAATTAATAGTGTAATTAGCTCATCAAATTTGAATAAAATGTCATAACACAAAACTTTCAAAGAGATGTATTTTAATAATTAAAGACAGCATTAGTGAAGTTTTTCTGTATGTATCTTTTGTGATATTAAACATGTACTGTCAAATATCTATCTATCTAAGTGGATAACAATGCAATTCATTTTGTCATGAAAGAGCTGTGCTTTCAAAGACTTTTAATAAGGTTTTAAAAAAGGATAAAATTTCTCTTAGAAAATAACACGTAGGAGTTAATGGCATCAAAGTCACATTGACTAAAGAAGGAAAATAGCAACAAATTGTTAAAGCTACTTTAATATAAACCTTATTGCAAGTATACAAATCATTTGAACACAGTCTATAGAAAAGAGAAAAACTTCCAAGACATTACAACTTTTTCTCTGGCATGTTAAAAAACAAGTTTGACTAATGGCCAATGCATTATAAAATTTCCTATCTGACAAATCTCTCTAGATTATGCATAGTATTTTACTTTTGAAAGGTCATAAAAAAGATATAAATCAGTTTCCAGAAGAGCTAATATTGGCCCATAATGAAAGTTTCCTTCAGGTTATTTGAATGTATTAACGTAAGAAAGCTCCAGTTTAAGAAGAATTTCAAACCAAAATTAAGCATTAAAAAATAGGCATTTGGTTGAGGTTATTTTTTATTTATTCATTTATTTTTTGAGACAGTCTCTGTTGCCCAGGCTGCAGTGTGGTGGCACGATCCCGGCTCACCACAACCTCAGCCTCCTAGGTTCAAGCAATTTTCCGGTCTCAGTCTTCTAAGTAGCTGGAATTACAGGTATGCGCCACCATGCCCAGCTAATTTTTTTTTTTTTTGTATTTTTAGTAGACACGGGGTTTTGCCATGGTGGCCAGGCTGGTCTCGAAATCCTGACCCCAAATGATCTGACTGCCTCAGCCTCCGAAAGTGCTGGGATTACAGGTGTGAGTCACTGCACCCGGCCTTAATTTTCTAAAGACAAATAAACAAAAAGCTTTTCCTGTTCCTCTCCCAAAAGAGCAATGAGATAACTGCCTTGTAATGTTTGTTTGCTTTTTACAAACACCAGTTTACCACTTGCTGGAATCCCAGCCCAGGAACCAGCCTGTGAATGTGGGTGGCTCATGGCCTTGTTTTATGATGACAATTGGTGTCCTCTTGTCTCTTCCAGAAGGGTCTGTCTCAAGGTACATTTTGGCTAAAAACAGTTGTAAAGACACATAAATTCGGTTAGTTTGGGTTAAACTAAAGTAACTGCAGATTGAAAATTCTTCGAATAAAAGTAATAAATTAAATTTCCAGAAGAACAAATAAATATTGGCCACATTGAAAATGAAAATTCTTCGAATACAGTTCTTCAAATGAAAGTAATAAATTAAATTGCCATTGACCAGGTAGACAAATACAATTTCTTTTTGATTTCTCTCATCTGCCATGAAAAGCAACATGCGAGTCTCATCAATGCCCGAAAAAATTCCAAGTTTTATAGAATTGTTCTGGTGGCATAATTATTGTTACACTTTTCAGTAAACGGAAAATTGTGCCAGAAAGAACAGCTTTAGTCAAAAGGAAGTTTAAAAAATCTGGCTTATCACAGTCATGGAGGTTTTACTCTTATCATAATAAAACAAGGGTTGAAATGAATTTAAGTTTTTCTGGTTAAATTGATATAATTCTATTCTAAATTAGATAACAAAACATATTTTTTCTTGTGCCCATCTGGAAATTCTCCAGTTCAAAAAATCACATTACTCTTTAGTTTTGAGGAGGAATGCTAAGCTACTTCTTGATTTTGAAATGTAGTTTTGTAAGACATGGTGGCAAAGAGCAGTCAGACACTCGGTCATAATGGTGCCCGGTTACTGCTATAATTGTCCATCAATTGAGCTTACCAGACTTCAGAGATTCTTTTTTCTCAACTTCATTAGCATCTTTGCCAATCCAAATAAATATCTGAAAAATGAAACAATAACAATATGTATGGTTTCTGGGATGTTGACTCGGGCGAGGCCCTGTGTAAAGTGCTTCACGCACACACTGCTCATTGAATCCTCACAACATTCGCAGAAGTTAGGGACGTGCAGGCAGTGGCCCAGAAAGGTACCATCACTTTCCCAGTGTTCACACTCATCAGGAGACACCTAAACTTACATTTAGCCAGTTTCACTTCAGATTTCACACTTGGATATTTTATGTTTACATGGTATTTTCTAGTTTGTAAAGTGATCTTTCACAAAAACAACAGATTGGGTGGATTTTTTTTTTCATCCACCCCCTAGGGTGTGACAGCAGTCAGTCGAAGGAAACCAAAATATTTCACCTCCGAATACACTTCTTTGACATATTTTGAGATGGCTGTTCAGAGGGCTTGCAAAGAGAAATAGTCCTGCAAAGCTGCCTTTTGTGGGGGAAGAGCTGCATCTGTAGAGAATCTGCATTGGTGCAGCCGGGCTTTCTCTGAGGCCCTCCCTTTTCGGGATCTAGGGAAGATTAACTGAGAGTCTCACACCCTTAAAGGTCTGAAAGAAACATTTACCATCTATACTTTATGTGAGGTTTTATTCATAACAAGACTACCTTTCTTAGCCAGGCCTCTTCTGCCATAACCAGTTTTGCCATCCTCCAATCCCCCATTCTTTCTGTAACTTCCAAATGGTACAAAAGCATCAACCATCCAGCCGTTTCTTCAATTCTTGCATTCTGTATGACTCCTGCACATTAATATATTTGTATGCCTTTTCTCCTATTAATCTGATTTTTATATGAACCTTTGGAGAGTGAAGGGGAAATTTTCCCTGGGCCCTTACACAGTCATTATCCCCATTTCCTAGATGTGGATCTTAGCTGGAAAGGGACTACATGTAGACACAGAGCTTGTCTGTGGGTGATCCCAGACTCCCTCCAGCAACCTCTGACTTAAGGTTAGTGTTTTTCTCTTCTAGTAGCGTGCCCTCCCTATAAGATGTTGGTAAAAATGCTATAATGTTTAGTATTTAAATAGCAATTTTTTAAAAAAATTGATATAATTATATAATTATACAATCTGTATATATCCTTCTCCTTATCAAATGTGTTGGTGGGGGTACTTTAATGCTGAAAAAATTTCCTGAATTACCTTATATTGAAATCTCTTTAAAATCACTTGTGGCAGAGCAATTTTGGTCAGTTATGTTTAGACTGTATTCTAATTCATACTGAAAGTGCTGAAATATTTGTGTGCAGGGCACAGAACAAACCATGACAGCATGGTAATGTAAATAAAAAGTATGACTTTAAAAAATGAAATGTGGCTTGGTAAATATTCTAAAAAGTATCCATGATTACAGAAACAAGAGTTGACTACAAATGAGAAAAATTAAATATATATCTGAATAAGGAAGTGTAATTCTTCTTTAATTCTTAAATACACAAGAGTGCTTTATTGACTTGGAGATTTAAATCTCATCTAGAAATAAGTACTCCATTCACTTGGCAAGAATCTGAGGCTGGGCCCTCAAGTCAAACATGGTCATTGTAGATCAGAAGCGAGGGTGTGATATAACTGAATGTTTTATCAGTTGGGAACAAACTTAAAAGGAACAATTTCTATGCTTGCCTCTAAGACTAGGCCTAATTCAGATAAGCATTTCACACTTGTTCTATATAATTTAGTTCATAATATATTTACTTTTCTCTTTCACTGTTAATTTACATAGAGGTTAAAAACCTATCAGATGTGGCATGTCAAATCACCATTAATTTCCTTGAAAATTAAGATAAATAAAACAGTAACATATTTTACTGTGTAGATTCAAAACTATTCTGTCTGTTTCTTCCCCAGGGGAGGGGCACCCATGACTTCTTGTCAAATTTCAAGAGAAATTTTGAATATGTTGGTTTCCTCAATGGCATTGTACCCCCATGACACTGTACACACTAATACACTTATTAAATGAATTATAAACAAATTAGGAATGAGTAATTTTTACAAATAAATGAAAAATAACAGTTTTTTTGCCTATAATTGTAAAGCCAAAGATGGTAGCTCTGGAATTATTTTCATAGGAAGAAATCAACTTGCCATATGTATTAGTTTCATTTTTTACCAAATGTGTGTGTATTTTTAATACAGCCTAAATCTCTAGGCTCATTTATATCTAGATTTACCATTTCTCAAAGCAAGTTCTGTCATCTTTCAACCAAGAATGCATTCTCTTGTTATGAACAAAATGTAGTTGTACCTGTTCCCAAGCGTCTAGTAACATAACATCATCTTCTGCTAAATCATCCTGGGTGAACTCTCCTGGAACCTCTTCAATCTGAAAGGTATAAAAAGCTATATGAGCAAACAGTAAAGCAGTGATTTTTCTAATACATAGGATACAAATGCCCTGTATTTTTTTTTTGAGTATAATGAAAATAAAATTTGGTAGTAATTTTTTTCTTCTTTTTCGGGTAATAAAATTTTAAATAATTGATCATTAATTTGGCATCACAAACTGGTGGTATTTTATTTGGCCAGCACAGTATTTAATATAAACATTGCATTTGTGAAATTAAATAATTCAAATATAAAGCTGGTGGAACCTTAAATTATTCTGAGCTTTGAGAGGAATGTGGCTATGTGGCCTGAGTCTTGAGGCATGCACTCAAGCTTTTGCCTTTTTTTCTGCAAATAATTCGGAAGACCAAAGGGTGCAGAGCTAAGACCCACCTCAGATCACCACTCCTCACAAAGTAAGAATGTATTCTTCCTTGGAAAGTATTAATAGCAATCTGTAACCAATCAAATCACTGTCAGTATGCACTGGTCTTATATAAAAAATTACATAAGCCTGCTATAATTTCTTTGTTTCTGCCTATTGTCAGTGAAACTTTAACTCCTCCACTTTAAAACACTGGCCCCATTCATTTGGAGTTAGTGTTTCCCGGGTAGCTATCCTCAAGCCTGGCATTTCAATAAACTATATATTGAATCATATTTTCTAAATCTCATCCCTAAGGTTGGCACATTTGAATGCCCACATATATAGTCAATTTGCTCACAATCCGCTATACTTCCAGTCCCTTAGGACTAATTGTTTCACAGATTTATGTTGCCTATCTAGTTCCTAAAAACATTGAGTTTATGGTCCGAGTGTTAAATTATCTTTCATTTTGTAGGTCAAGATTACTTTTAAAAAATCAATAGGGCCGAGCATCATGGCTCATGCCTATAATCCCAGCACTTTGGGAGGCCAAGGCAGGCAGATCATGAGGTCAGGAGTTCAAGACCAGCCTAGCCAACAGGTGAAACCCCGTCTCTACTAAAAATACAAAAATTAGCTGGGTGTGGTGGCAGGCGCCTGTAGTTCCAGCCACTCAGGAGGCTGAGGTAGGAGACTTGCTTGAACCTGGGAGGTGGAGGTTGCAGTGAGTCAAGACTGTGCCATTGTACTCTAGCCTGAGCAACAGAGGAAGACTCTGTCTCAAAAAAAAAAAAAAGAGAAAGTCAATAGGCCTGGCCATTTTAATAAATCAAAAATTTTCAATAAGATGACATTATAACATAATATTGCATGTACAAATTTTTTTATTTTTATTTTTAATTGTGTTAAATTATAGTTATAGCATTAAAGGGTAATGGGAGGGTTAGCTTCATCCACCCAATACCAATGGGCATGTGTTAATCTAAAGTTTGGTATTTTTAGACAATTGTGGGTGAAAACCCCCCTGGATCCTTAAGGCAGGAGTTTGGATTATGGTTCCCAGTTCTTCATTCACTCCCTCTGGCATGTGACTCTGCAGTGCTGTGGAGCTCACTGGGGCCTTGGCCATGTCATATTAGCAAAGGTGACTCAGCAAGGGCCTTTTTGTGTCTTTGGCTTTGTCACTGGAAAAATATGTATAAACCCAAAACATGCGCCCAGCATAGATGAACCTAGTTCCAGGCAGCCTGCAGACATCTGAGCATGACAATTCATGTTTGTTGTAATCTGATGAGATTTTGAGATTGTTATACAAAATAAAACAAAAAACCTTGACCATTTAGAGGGCAAAGGATTTATTTATATTATTTTTATAGGACATATACCAATCACATAATGATTTTAAAAAGAAAAACTTTAAATAGCACTTACTTGATGTCAGGCACTGTTCTAATCTTTTATATGCAACAGCTAATTTAATATTCACAGCAACCCTATGAAGTAGGCACTATGATTACCACCATTTTAGAGTTGAGACAACTACAGCCCAGATAGGCTCAGTAACCAGCCTAAAGTCACACAGCCAGCAAGTACTACCACCAGGTAAGTGACAGCACATGGGCAGATTGGTTCCAAAAGCTGTACTTTTAGCTAATAAGCTCTGCTGCCTTGTAGCTGCCTTGTAGGAATCTACATGTGTAAAACCTACTTTCTGATAGTAATTATAAGATCAAATACTTGTTAGCAACAATCCGTTGCCTTAAACTATAAAGGGAGTGGAAGGGGTTCCAAACATCAAACAAGAAAATGAGTTGGTGCAGAGGAAATTTATATTTCTCTTAAAGGCTAATATACGTGCATAACAAAAAGCCAAAGACTAACAATTCTTTTTTTTAAACACACTGAGAACAAAGCCTAGGTACTTATTTTTGTAAAATACATCTTTCTTGGAAACAAATATCTAATTTATAGCAATGTTAATAAATAATTATAATAAGAAATTATAAAAGCATATGCTGAAAAATAAGTTGCTTGGATGCAATATCAAGTTACCAGTCAAAACAATAAAACAGCAGATTTTTCTGATGACAAATCCATAAAATATAGCAAGTTCAGGGATTTTCTGTAAAGTAGGTGAGCAAATTGTGGTACATAGCAACCAAATATTTATCTCAATGCACTGTTTAAATCTTTAACTTGTAGGTCAAATTATTTATACGCTTCAAGGGGGACTTGAACCACTTCATCTCAAGTAATTTTATTTCTAGTAATCAAAATATCTGGCAAAATACATGGGAAATTTTCTTTCCTGTGTTGAAAAATAAAGTTTGCATTTGTTCACTAGGATGTGTTGACCAAAATCTGTAGATCAAGTTTTATATAAAAAAGGAATTCATTCTTTAAATGAAAAATTTAGCAAAAACTTAGCATGTGAAACAGAGAAAGTATAACTTTTTTTTGAAATTTAGGTGATAGGCTGTGGTTCAGGATGATATTTCAGAGCCCAGTGTAAAGTCACTCTTGTATTCTTTTATATTGGATGTTTGTTTCCCCCCAGAATTCCTGTGTTAAACCTCTAACCCCCAATGGCATGGTAGTAGGAGGTGGGGTCCTTAGGAGGTAATTAGGTTCAGATGAGGCCATTAGGGTGCAGTGCCCCTGCTTAGCGTCCTTATAAGGAAAGACTGAGGCTAGAGCTTGATCTCTTGGCCATGTGAGGACACAAGAAGGCTAGAAAGTGGTTCCCTCACCAGACATCAGATCTGCTGGTGCCTTAATCTTGGACTTCTCAGCCTTCAGAATTGTGAAAAATAAATGTTTGTGGTTTAAACCACACAGTCAATGGTATTTTTGTTATAGGAGTTTGAACTAAGACATGCATACACATACTTCTAATTTTACTTCTGACTGACTGGAAGTCAAAGCTTGTAATTGACTATGAAATAAAACATTCCTGTTGATGTCAGTTAATTTGTAACTGCATATATAGCTTTCTGTGATTTTTGCTCAATGATCATAATATTTTCATAATATTTTTAATTCAGTCAATATGGTGAAAATTTTTACTCCGCTGGGAAATTGACATGTAAAATTTACATAGTTCGATCAGAAATAATGATTGCTGCCCATAGAAAATGCCAAATTATTAAATTAACAAATCTAACCACATATCTATTCATACAGCAACTGCATGCTCACACAGGTGTAAAGTAGCTGGTACTTTTAAGAGCAGCTTAATCTATATAGGACATCACAACATTAATGCTTTCACATTAATTACATCATTAACCCTTAAAAACACCCTGTGTAAGGAACAGAAAGCCAAATACTGCAGGTTCTCACTTATAAGTGGGAGCTAAATGATGAGAACACATGGGCACATAGAGGGGAACAACACACACTGGGGTCTATCAAAGGGTGGAGTGTGGGAGGAGTGAGACAATCAGGAAAAATAACTAATGGGTACTAGACTTAATAACTGGGTGATGAAATAGTCTGTACAACAAATCCCCACGACACAAGTTTACCTATGTAACGAACCTGCACATGTACCCCTGAACTTAAAATAAAAGTTAAAAAAAAACCCTGTGTAGAGCAAAGGTTATTACCATGGTTTGCAGGCAGGCAGAAACTGAGATTCAGAACAGTAGCACGTCTGAAAGTGTCAGAGCCACATGGGACTGCCCCTCCCGGTGTTGTTAGGTTCTATCCCACTCCTTTTTTTTTTTTTTTTTTTTTTTGAGATGGAGTCTCACTCTGTTGTCCAGGCTGCAGCACAGTGACGCCAGTGGCATGATCTTGGCTCACTGCAACCTCTGCCTCCCGGGTTCAAGAGATTCTCCTGTTTCAGCCTCCCAAGTAGCTGGGACTATAGGCACACACCACCATGCCTGGCTAATTTTTGTATTTGTAGTAGAGATGGGATTTCATCATATTGGCCAGGCTGGTCTTAAACTCCTTGACCTCATGATCCACCCATCTCGGCTTCCCAAGGTGTTGGGATTACAGGCGTGAGCCACTGCGCCCGCCCCCACCACCCCGCCTTTTTTTTTTTTTTTTTTGAGACAGAGTTTCGCTCTTGTTGCCCAGGCTGGAGTGGAGTGGAGTGGCGCGATCTTGGCTCACTGCAACCTCCGCCTCCTGGGTTCAAGTGATTCTCCTGCCTCAAGCCTCCCAAGTAGCTTGAATTACAAGCATGCACCACCACACCCAGCCAATTTTTGTATTTTTAGTAGAAACAGGGTTTCTCCATTTTGGCCAGGCTAGTCTCAAACTCCTGACCTCGGGGGATCTGCCTGCCTCGGCCTCCCAAAGTGCTGGGATTACAGGCACAAGCCACTGCACCTGGCCCTATCCCACTGTTTTTAAAGACACTTACAATGAATCTTCCAGTTTTGTTAGAGCAGCCATAAAGCCGAGGTGGATGGTCTTCAGCCTGGGTCTCCAGTAGTGGTGAGGTCTGGTAGTCTTCTTTCCCTCCAAGGGAACTCCAAAACTCCTCTGTGGAAAACACACTCAGTTATCCAGTGCATTTTCAGGAACACATGCTTGCTGTTGCTTTATATGAACAAATATCATCTCACCTTGGTTTCAATGTTGAGAAGTTACTTAAAGGAATCAGGTACCATCACCCACCCACCTTTGCAACTAATGGAGAGATTGTTAATCCTTATAAGCCGTTAGAAAGTGGCTTTTTGGTGAAAAAAAGATGATTGACAATCATATCAATATAAAATCTAGTTAGTGCCCTTGGCCCCACAGCACACACCTGGCTCCTCGCCTTCTTGGATCCGTAAGGTTTTGCACTTGAGGACACTTGCTACATACTCTGCTCCTTTCTCCTCCTCCTGGCTAGCACCTTTTCCTATCCAGATGTAGCCACTATTTTGTGGCAGTTTCAGGACAAAAACATCGTTAGAATTCAGTGAATGTGCATCAACATCAACCTGGAATATGAAGAAAAATAAAACAGTGATTCAAATTCATTGCTGCTCCCTCAATACACATGTCCTAGAAGCTGTGACTGTGGCAAACCATACATAGCCTTCTGCCCTATCCCAGGAAATTAATTCAGGGCAGCTCTGGGACACCACTACGGTGTTTTAAACCCTAGAGTAGGAGCACTGTGGTCTGTGTCACTTGTGAATTTCTGACTCTGTGTCCTTCTCTGTGAGAACCTTTCTGACCATATGACTGTGCTACTATGTCACTGGCATGACTTTCTGCATAATTGTCGAACAAGTGTGATATGTGATTCCAGAAAGAGGAAGAAGAACCAATAAGCAAGACTGAGGGGGAGTAGCTGAGACGGAGGAGGAAAACAAAAGTGTAGTGATCTTGAGGCCAAGTGAGGAAAATGCTTCAAGAAGGCAGGGGTGATTTGCTGTGCCAGATGATGCTGCTTGGCCATCTACACTGAACTGCCAGGATGAAGGCATCCACGATGTGGAGAGTTGAATTTCACCAGGTTTCTCAGGAGCCTGTCCAAGGAGAGAACACTAGAGGAGGAAGGAACGACTGTTGAAAGTTTTAAAGGCATGTCCAGGAATTGGGAACATTCAGGAAAATGATAAAAATTCTCTCCCAGCAGGAATGAGGCCTCACAGACCAAGCTCAAAGGAATCTATCAGATGTGATGATGGAGAATTACAGGAACCAAGTCTGGCTTCCAGGGCTTCCAATTTCTAATATATACATCTCATTATGAGTCCAGAGGAAAGAGCCAGGATGAAGGATAGAAGGTAACAAGAGATCTATGCCCAGACTGGTGTGAGATCAGGAAATGAGATCTAAAACAGAACCTTATAAAGACTTAGACTGCCAGCAGATGAAGACAGGAAGACTTGTGAAATGATCTTGACTGGTGCATTTCAGAGCGGCTGGGAATGTGAAAGCTGGTTTGAGAGGCCGCAAGGAAATAAAGAGATGCACTGCAAGCAGCTGATGAGGTCTCACAAAGGAATGTCCACTGGGGAAGAAATCAGAATGTAGGAATGGTGCATTTTGGTTGACTTTCCCATCTGAAATCAACTGAGAATGCCCATAGATAATGAATGCTTAAATGTCATTTTGATAGTTTTTAAATGTCAAAAAATAATAGTCATAATTAAACATAGAAGAATCCGTGCACAGAAGGTTCTGGATGAGATCAATACATACGCTGGCATTTATACTATGTGACTAAATGAGACCATGGTGAAGGGGCCAAGGCCGGGGCTTGGAGCGCTGAAGAACTGAGAGGTCAAACAGAAGAGGAAAACACAGCAAACTGGCCCGAGAGGAGTGGCCGATAGGTTAGGAAGAAACCGTGGTAAGTGTGGGGATACATTCACCTAGTGAAAAAAAGAAGTGCTCAATAAAACTGGAAAGGCTGACTGGCAAATGCTAGTGGGAAGTTGAGAAAAACGAGATCAGAAAAGTGACCTTTGATTGTGGCATGCGGCAGGTCACCGGCAAACTAGATAAAAACCAATTCAGTGGACTAGTGGGATGGACACCTGATTGAGGTGGTTTTAGAGAGAACTGGCTTTAAAAAGTAGAGATGATGAGTGAGTGAAAACACTCAAGACAAACCTTTCAATGATATGTGCTCTTAAGAAGGACAGAGAAATGATGCAGTAGCTAGAGAAGGTAATGGTCAAGGTCAAGACACAGTTTTTAAAGAAATGACAGGAGGTTTTTGTTACAGTCATCTTTGTAGTTCAAAGTGAATGATTCCACATAGAAAAATAAATTGATGATACAGAATGAAAGGAGATTACTGCTTGCAATCATGATGAACTAGAAGTGGAATAAATGCACGGGAAAGACAGAAATCCAGGAGATTTCTTAGGAAAGCAAGAAAGGGAAGGATCCAGACAGAAGTTGGTGGCCAGGTGGGCGGAGGAGGAATTGGGCCTTAGATAGGAGGGATAGTCTATGTAATAAACATTTAATAAACTATTTATTGATATATAACTGTATACAAATACATTATTCATTGCTAATTTATGGATAATAGTATATATGTAATATGTATAGTATATAATCACTTATAAGACACTTCATATATGGAAATTCCTAATATAAAATATTTATTAACTTAAAAATAGAAATACAAATTTGATATTTATTTCATAAAACAGGAGGGAAAGAGAATATATACATAGATGCAGACAAATTGATAAAGTTGCAGGGGAGTAGATAAGATGATTTATGCCTGATTTATCTTCTCTGTGAACTCTAAATTAAAGTTATCAGTAGAGAGAAGGGGATGCTGGGGATCTGGGGAGAAAGGAGGACATGAAGGGTGGGGTGTGAAGGAGGCAGCGGGTTCATGGATTCAGCTATAGGCCTGGAGAATTGCCAGAATGTGCATTCTAGAGTAAAGGAGCCAAAGGACAGGAGAGAGTTGTCAGAGATTAGATGACTGGAACAGATTTCTGAGGAGCTATAGTTATTGCAAATGGCAAAATTTAGTATAGGACCATGTGAGTGTGAGATGAAATGCGGTCAAGCAAAAGACTGCTGGAAGAGAGAAGCCAAAGAGATGGAAATAGTGAGATAATGGCTGAAGTCATCAAAGAAGAGGAGAAGGACTGGCAGTTCAGTCTATGAAAGCACAAGAGGTCTGGAGGAGGGAAAGTCTGATACAAAGGAGAGAGGCAAGATAAAATCAAAGAGGTAAGGGTGAGCGGCGGGGGAGGGGGGCGGGGGGGCGGAACTTGTCCAGCCCCATCCCTGAGGCCGTGGTGAGTGGGCCTTGGTTGGGAAAACACAAGTTCCACTTGAGAAGGTCTGCAGGGGAATCTGTCCTCAGAGGACAGTCGTAGAGAAATCAGGTGCAGGGAGAGGGAGGCTTAGAGAAGAGGTCACAGGTGGAGGGATGAGATGACCAACCCGGGTTTCAAGGGTCTGCTGATTGACTTGTATGGAGGGGGAGTTTGAGGGACAGCTCCAGGCTTGATATGCGGAGTATGCCGGGCAGTGTAAGGGTGATGTGGAAGACTTAGATTTCAGTGGTGACTGGGGTGACAGGATTGTCCTAAGGTCAAAGCACTTAGCTATTTAAAAACCTGGGTAGACTGGCCTTGTCTATACCTGGAGGTCTCCTTATCTTATGGCACCATGGCATGGGGTCTGATTTCTCTCCCAGCTGCTGTCAGAAACAGCTCATGGGGCCAGTTCAGTTACGGTTCTGGTCCAGTGTGGTGGGACATGCCTCCCATATTTGTTACACTTGTGCAAACTAGGGCCTTCCCTCTCAAATGTCTCCACTGTGGTCAATCACCTGACCATCACCTGTGATCCATCCACCTCAGGCCTTTCAAGATGGAGCTTAAGCAGCCTCATGCTTTTGACAGCTAATTTGTGATAGTATTCTTAAAAATTTATTTGTTTGGGTTCAATGCAATTGAAAAATGTGAGAGGCCTGGTATCTAGAGTTTTACTTTTTACTCAACTCTCTTGCTATTAGTGTTTTTAAAATTTTGAACAGTGGATTAATTATAGAAATGAAGGGAGTTTATTTGCCAAGTTTTTAAAGTCTAATATTTGCTGATGGCTCAGGTCCATTGGGAAGTCCACAACTAGGACACGTTTTATGGAATGCATGACATTACCTCCACAATTCTGGTGATAGATGCCAGGTTTCTCCGGACTTGAAAGAGGCGTGTAGGGGGAGCAGGTGCCTGACCTCCTTTCTTTGATGTTCCATTCTTGTAAATAATGAGCGGTTTGTCTTTGAACAAACTCAGCAGGTGAATAGGCTCTTTGCCTTGGGAGACTCGGATCTGATGGGGGAGAAGGGGAATAAAAGAAATATAATTAAGAGTACTGTGAAAGAAGGTTTTAGTTCCAAATGTGTTCTTATGTTTTCTTTTTGAAAATAAAACAAAAAATAAAAAGTCAAGAGCAGGAGAAATGATGATTAACAGAAAATATAGGTTAATGAAAATCAGTTTTCCTTGGTGACTTAAGAATCTTTTGTTTTTGCAGGCACGGTGTCCCTGAGTAGTTTCTTGTCAGGGGAAACATCACCATACTCCAATACTTTCTGTTTTTGAAAAGTATGAAGATTTAAGTTTGTTTGTTACATCTCCGAAAGAGACAAGGTAACACCAAAGTGCTGGAGTCTGCGACCTTATGTGAAAATCTTAAGTGAAAATCGCTCTTCTTTCAAGGGTGCCAGTAACACTTACAGATACTTACAGAGGTACTAGAATCTCATGTTTTTGGATCTGGTTCAGAAGGTTAAGAGATGTGCATTCAAATGCTTTACAACATAAGATGACCCCAAATCATACTCATTATTTCTATACCTCTGTATTTGTAAAATAAAAAAAATTACACACACACAAAGATTTCCATACAAGCATTAAAAATGGGCAAAAATAAACAGAATATGTTTTCTACTTTTTAACTTACCTATAGAAATGTAATAGTAGATATGCTCAATATAAGAAACTTTAAAAAATAAGACTTTTAAAAAAATAAGTCTTTTTTTTTTAAAAAAAAGACTTTTCAGGATGAGGAAATTGAAAAAAAAAGGGAAATTATTTGCTTGATTTTATTTATTAGCCCCAAATATTGGATTAGAATTTCCTATTTCTCACACAAACTATTGATGCATTTACATAAAGAGTTCAAATTTCATGTCAGTCTCCCGTTGTTTTCATTTGTTCTGCCCTATGCAAAAATTGAACTGTCTCACTTCCCCTGGTTTGTCTTTTTCTAGAAGCCAGGTGAATGGGAATGCTGATGCATGCACCATTAGAGGGAGGCCTAAAGGCATTGAAAATAATTGACTTCATAAATATATTTCAATTAGTAGGCATTCAAATAAGTGAGCAGCAAATTATGGAAATGTTTTGTCAGTTATGGTCTCACAAATACCTAAAACTGTTGGCTTAGCATTTCATATAACACGGAGAAAACTTTAATTGCTAACATGAGAGAAAGTGAAACACTGATTAAGGCCCATCTCTTACTGTCAAAGGAGAATAAGAAAGAAAAAAGGTTGATTAAAAGTAATTTTAATGGTTAATATATTCTACAAAGTAGCATTGAAAACCGCAATACTTTATTCATGCATTGTTGTAAGCTACTGCCATCTAGTGATTAAACTGAAAATTACCATTTTGTTGTCAATTTAGGATTCAACTGGCTAACAATTCATGGAAATTCATAATCGAGTGTATCAAATATAGCACTATGAAATACGAAATATGTAAAGTTTTTTACAATAGTTTGGCAAGTAATAACTTAAAGATCAACTAAATTTCATAGAATTGAGTGCATTTAAATAATGTAGTCATCTCATTAATTTGTTAATTAAAAATTAGCAAGTTATTTTTAAAAAGTTAATATGCACCTTTAAATTTAGATGTAACTTGTTTTATGTATCTACTAACTTGTATCAAGATGGGAAGGAAACCAGCTGGAAGACCAACTTCAACCTCCACATCTTACACTTTATGTTCTAAAGTGTCTAACTTGCCTCTTTAATTATTATATTAAAATAAGCAATTACACACTTATAAAGATTTGAAAACAAGACAGAAAAACCCTTTTGTACCATATAGAATCTTAGCTCCCTTGACACCAGGAATGAGGAAGTTAAACAGGCACAACCATGCAAAGGGAGTGTTTCATGCTGCTGTATCAGAAACATCACTGCACTGGCCAAGTAAGCACCTGCTTTCTGTTTGAACTCTAATCTGTAAGATGCTTTTCCCACCAGATAGGAGCAGATGGCTTCTCAAAAACTGGCCAAAGACAACAGGCGGGCAGAAAACAGGCAGCAGTGTGCGCAGCTCCAGCTAGGAAGACACAGGGAATGAGAGAGAGGGAGAGAGAAAGCTCCAGCCAGCTGTAGGGAAAAGGAACAAGCAAGTGCCCTTTCCCAGAATGAACAAGAAAGCAGACAGACACACTGGGGCACACTAGAGGAAAACAGGGACTCCTTGAAGTCTGTATGTCAGTTATACAGTAAGGGAATTTAAAAAACAAAGACCCAGACTTTTTCATGGTAACTAATAAGGGTCCTGAAACAAGCAGCAGATACACCACCATAACTATAAAAGGAGGAGCAGTTGAACTTAGGAGAGGACAGAAGGTTGAACCAGGCTAGAAACAGCAGTCTCTTAGACACAGTGAGATCTAGAACTAGACATTGATATTGTCTGACACTGTATAACATTTAAAGTTTTATAATAAATAAAGCAGCATATTATCTTTTCCTGCCCATTTTTCTCTATTTTAATCTCCGTCTCTGTCTCCAGATAGAGATAGATAAGATAGATAAGTTAGATAGATATACTAAAAAGTTGACTCATTTTTAATTACATGAAATTTTCATTTTGAATTTGGATTTAGTCATTCTCGACAAGTAATTTTTTTTTTTCAGAAATACCCAAATAAAAAAAAATATCTCTCCTCCCTCTCACACTGTCCTCTCCCTTGCCCTTCCTCTTCTCTCCTCCTTCCTACTTGTCTCATTTCTTCCTCCATGATTTCCCTTTCTTCTCTTCCCTCTCCTCCCCTCCTTCCCCTGTTCTTTCCCCTTCCTCCCTATCTTTTCTCTTTGTCCCTCCCATTTCTGTTCATGCTTTCTCCCTCTCCACCACTTCCTCCCTCACTTTTGGGTGATGGACTTTGTTTCAGTAAAGATTTTGGTACCTAAAAGGGAAATATAAGGACTCATGCTATTTTATCAAGATTTATTTCTGTTTACTTGTGCAAAACATAACTTACGCATGTTTATGATTTGAGAGTGTAAGAAAATGAGTCTTTTTTCTACCTATTAATTAGAATTGCTAATCTGTGCTTGTTCTGTACTGTTGTATTTATTTCTCAAATTATAATTTGTTACAGAATTGCTGTAACAAATTACTATGATTTAGTGGCTTAAAACAACACAAATTTATCATCTTACAGTTTTGGAGGTCAGAAGTCTGAAATGAGTTATGGGGTTAATTTAGATAGATCACTGGGCTAAAATGTGGAATAACGATTTAGTCATGGGGCTAAAATCAAGCTATTGCAGGGCTATAGTCCTTTCTAGAGGCTCTAGGAATGAATCTATGCCTTGCTTTTTCTGGTTTCTAGAGGTTGCCCATATTCCTTTGCTAGGGACTCTCTTCCATCTTCTTATTTTTAATTTTATTTTTTAATTGATTAATAATTGTAGATATTCATGGGGTACACACAATGTATGGTGATCAGATTAGGGTAACTAGCATAACATCATCTCAAATATTTATCATTTCTTTGTGTTGGGAATGTTCAATATTCTCCTTCTAGCAATTTGCAAACTATATAATATGTAATTGTTCCCTCCATCCTCAAAGCTAGTGATCGCTGGTTGGTCTTTCCCATGCTGCATCCCTCTGATTCTGTCTGGCTTTCTGTTTTACTTATAAGGACCCTGGTGATTACACTAGGTCCACCCAGTAATCCCAGATAATCTCCCTAGCTTAAGATCTGCTGATGAGCAACCGTAACTCCATCTCCAACCTTAACTCTCCTTTGCTTTGTAACATATCACACTTGCAGGTTCTGAGGATTAGGACATGAACACCTTGGGGGATTATTCTGCCTACCGTATCTGTTGAACAACAGCTGGAAACAATAATACAGGTAAAACCGTTTTAATGTCAAGCGACTATCACTGACATAGGGTGTGATTCTAATGGGAAGATTCTTTTGGGATCTTAAATCTGTTGATAGTTTTTGTTGCTTGTGTTTGTTCCCTCCTTTCCAGAATCTGAGAGAACTAATTTGAAATGAGAGTAGGAATATTTGAATTTCAATATGAAAACAGAGTTCATATCAAGAAAATGTCAAATTTCTATCCCAACTTGGGAGGGAGCTATAGCTATCCATGGAGCTAGCAAGACTTTAACTTGTGTGAGTTTTGGGGGTAAAAATATCCCAACCTGCACAGCCTGTCCTCCGAGGGACCGATCCAACTGAACAGTCAGGAACGCAGATGTTGTCAGCTCATCTCGTGTGGCATTTGCTCCTTGCCTAGAGGAATGAAAGTGAAATAAATTAGCTTGCCTTTAAGTTTTTTTTTTTTTTTTTTTTTGAGACGGAGTCTCCCTCTGTCGCCCAGGCTGGAGTGCAGTGGCCGGATCTCAGCTCACTGCAAGCTCCGCCTCCCGGGTTTACGCCATTCTCCGGCCTCAGCCTCCCGAGTAGCTGGGACTACAGGCGCCCGCCACCTCGCCCGGCTAGCTTTTTGTATTTTTTTTTAGTAGAGACGGGGATTCACCGTGTTAGCCAGGATGGTCTCGATCTCCTGACCTCGTGATCCGCCCGTCTCGGCCTCCCAAAGTGCTGGGATTACAGGCTTGAGCCACCGCGCCCGGCCGCCTTTAAGTTTTAAGATCATCGCATGTAGGCACTGCAAGCAGAGACAAGTTATTATGAAAGATCAAGAAGAAGCGAACTGTTTCAACATGATATGAGCTGTTAAGCTATTGTTTTTGTCAAAGTATCTAACATTGAATTGTCCTATGTGTCGTCTAGAACTGTATATGGTAGGCATTTTTATCTCCATTTTAAAGAAATTGAGCTTTTGTTCCTTAGATAACTTAGCTAAGTCATCAGGTTCACCTGATTTTAAGTTGGAGCTGCCTATTTTTTAGAAAACACCACTACAGTGAAAAATAATCCATCTGAAATGAAAATACGAGCCAAACTTATTACGTTGAATGTTAGGGGCATTTTGTCTTTCTATGAATATTTGGTGAGCATGAACCAAATGTCTGTAACCCAGAAAAATCAAGAAAATAATAATGAGAAGTTGACAATGGAGAGGCCCCATTTTGTCATCTTAGCAATTCCATAAGGAATTATTTATTATTATTATTTGAGACACAGTCTCATTCCATCACCCAGGGTGGAGTACAGTGGCATGAACTCAACTCACTGCAACCTCCGCCTCCCGGGTTCAAGTGATTCTCCTGTCTCAGCCTCCTGAGTAGCTGGGATTACAGATGCTTTTTTGTATTTTTAATAGAGACAGGGTTTCACCACGTTGGTCAGGCTGGTCTCAAACTCCTGACCTCAGGTAATCTAACCTCCTCCGCCTCCCAAAGTGCTAGGATTAAAGGGGTGAGGCACCATGACCTGCCCACCATAAGGAATTAGGAATAAGGCTGTACAAGATGCTAAGCTTCCAGCACTCAGATACAGGTCAATCCATCAATATGGCCAGTTCATTTGCAGCCTCTCTTTCTAGGGTAGCTTGTGGCTGTTAACTCTGTGTCACCTTAACCTGTAAAGCATCTTGTGGGAGATCTGCTGTTTGATGAGCTTGTAGAGAAGACAATAAAAGAAAACAAAACAAAGCTCCAAACATGGTGAAAGCACTCACTGAGCATTATTTATTTTTAGCCAGCTTTCGCATTTCTATCTGACTAGTGGTTAGCTTAGCAGTAGGAATGCTAAACTTGGATTTAGACTTTGAAAGTTAACTATTAGATTGGTGCAAAAGTAATTGCTGTGTTTGCTATTAAAAGTAATGG